CACGAGGCCCCCTGGTCAGGGAACATGAGGCCAGAGTCGGGGAACACGAGAGACCGTGGTCAGAAAAAATGAGGAACCATGAGTCGGAACACTGAAGACCAGTGGTCGGGGGCACTGAGGCCAGTGAGTAGAAAAACTGGTACACGAGAGGGCCGTGGTAGGAAGGACTGGTACAGAGAGACCAGTGAGTCGGAACCTGAGAGACCAGGATCGGAACACTGAAGACCAGTGTTCAGGAACACTGAAGACCATGAGTCAGGGAAAATGAGAACCATGAGTCAGGAACACTGAGGACCAGGGGTCAGGAACACGAGAACCCGGGGTCAGGAACACGAGAGACCATAGTCAGGAACATGAGAGACCCGGAGTCAGGAACACTGAAGCCCCTGATCAGGAAAACTGAGAGACCAGTGGTCGGAAAAGGGGAGACCATGAGTCAGGAACACTGAGAGCCCCGTGAGTCAGGAACACTGAGAGACCAGTGAGTCAGGAACACTGAGAGACCAGTGAGTCAGGAACACTGAGAGACCAGTGAGTCAGGAACACTGAGAGACCAGTGAGTCAGGAACACTGAGAGACCAGTGAGTCAGGAACACTGAGAGACCAGTGAGTCAAGGAGAACTGGTACACTAAGAGACTGTTTACCACAGGCAGGGGAGATCACGGGTTGGTATCCCACAGTGTCACGGCGATTCCTTCATCACTGTACAGGTCTTGTTTGTATTCATGTTAGTGTGTGTGTGCTTGTTGCGTTGTGATGTGACCACCTCACCCACCATCCTTACCCTCTCATCCTTCCCACACCCCCACCTCCTTCTACTACTCCCAACAGCAGCGAGTCTGGTATGATAATGAGGTGGGTAGTGTGTGTGCAGTAGTTATGTGGCGGTGGCTACGCTGGCGCCACATATTCCCACGATACTACGCAAGTGCTGCCGCGCGACGCTTGTGTTGACTCCACCTTCCTCCCCTGGGCCTTTGATATGGTGGAGGAGAGGATACGGGAAGAGGAGGGGGAGGAAGAGGGGAAGTCGAAGAGGAAGTAGAGAAGCCGAAAAGGGGTTGGATGAGGAGGAGAAGAGGAGGAGACTACTGGTGGAGCTAGGGAGCAGGGAAGGGTGTAGGTTTGAATACTATCGAGATATTTTGGGAAGAGTGTTTGATTCCTCTTGTAGGTGTACTGGAGATCCTCGGGTCAGACCTGCAGTGGTTGTAGGGAAACACTGAGTTTCACGAAATCCTAATAACACCACTGCAAGCAAACTTACTTGCCTGTGAGTTTTAGGACTCACAGGCCATGGGTTCAAACCTCATCTGTTCTCTGACTTGAGGACTGAAGATTCTTGTGTCCCTAAATGATTGCCTGATTTTTTCTTTCGGGTGAGGCTTTCACGAGAAAGTCTCATCCGATCAGCTCCAAACGTTCACCTCTGGTGTACAGTAAACAGGGCAAGAGTGTAGGAATAACTGGCATGTGCGGGTTCTCTAAGACATAAGTTATTGGACCCATTCCCAGCACTCTGGAATGGTTCTGATAAATTCTTTGAACCTCTGCTGCGTAACTTCAAACATTAACTTCCTAACTCGACGATGACAAGGTGAAATTCTAGCGTGTTGATGCACATCTGCCAATTTTATGTCTAAAATAGTGACAAATTTTTGTTCCTGTTAAATCATGGTAAATATAGGTGAGTCTGCTTTTTCCAAAAGTCTTCAGTATCTAATGACTGATATATTTTATAGCTAGGATAATACCTATTAAGTTTAGTCTGTGTGCGAATAAATTTGTCAATGCTCTAAATTTTTGTAATTTATATGATAGCTGGGGCATGCTTCTTCTGAATGAATTCAGACTTTCATCCTTGGTATGTTTGCCAGGAAGAAAGGTTTGTATCGTTACTGAGCTGCACAAGTCAGTTTGTATCGTTACTGAGCTGCACAAGTCAGTTTGTATCGTTACTGAGCTGCACAAGTCAGTTTATATCGTTACTGAGTTGCACAAGTCACAGTTTGTATCGTTACTGAGCTGCACAAGTCAGTTTGTATCGTTACTGAGTTGCACAAGTCAGTTTGTATCGTTACTGAGCTGCACAAGTCAGTTTGTATCGTTACTGAGCTGCACAAGTCAGTTTATGTCGTTACTGAGCTGCACAAGTCAGTTTGTATCGTTACTGAGCTGCACAAGTCACAGTTTGTATCGTTACTGAGCTGCACAAGTCAGTTTGTATCGTTACTGAGTTGCACAAGTCAGTTTGTATCGTTACTGAGCTGCACAAGTCAGTTTGTATCGTTACTGAGCTGCACAAGTCAGTTTATGTCGTTACTGAGCTGCACAAGTCAGTTTATATCGTTACTGAGCTGCACAAGTCAGTTTATATCGTTACTGAGCTGCACAAGTCAGTTTATATCGTTACTGAGTTGCACAAGTCACAGTTTGTATCGTTACTGAGCTGCACAAGTCAGTTTGTATCGTTACTGAGTTGCACAAGTCACAGTTTGTATCGTTACTGAGCTGCACAAGTCACAGTTTGTATCGTTACTGAGCTGCACAAGTCAGTTTGTATCGTTACTGAGCTGCACAAGTCACAGTTTGTATCGTTACTGAGCTGCACAAGTCAGTTTGTATCGTTACTGAGTTGCACAAGTCACAGTTTGTATCGTTACTGAGCTGCACAAGTCAGTTTGTATCGTTACTGAGCTGCACAAGTCACAGTTTGTATCGTTACTGAGCTGCACAAGTCAGTTTGTATCGTTACTGAGTTGCACAAGTCACAGTTTGTATCGTTACTGAGCTGCACAAGTCAGTTTGTATCGTTACTGAGTTGCACAAGTCACAGTTTGTATCGTTACTGAGCTGCACAAGTCACAGTTTGTATCGTTACTGAGCTGCACAAGTCACAGTTTGTATCGTTACTGAGCTGCACAAGTCACAGTTTGTATCGTTACTGAGTTGCACAAGTCACAGTTTGTATCGTTACTGAGCTGCACAAGTCACAGTTTGTATCGTTACTGAGCTGCACAAGTCAGTTTGTATCGTTACTGAGCTGCACAAGTCACAGTTTGTATCGTTACTGAGCTGCACAAGTCAGTTTGTATCGTTACTGAGCTGCACAAGTCACGTTTGTATCGTTATGAGCTGCACAAGTCAGTTTGTATCGTTACTGAGTTGCACAAGTCACAGTTTGTATCGTTACTGAGCTGCACAAGTCAGTTTGTATCGTTACTGAGTTGCACAAGTCACAGTTTGTATCGTTACTGAGCTGCACAAGTCACAGTTTGTATCGTTACTGAGCTGCACAAGTCAGTTTGTATCGTTACTGAGTTGCACAAGTCACAGTTTGTATCGTTACTGAGCTGCCCAAGTCATGTTTGTATCGTTACTGAGCTGCACAAGTCAGTTTGTATCGTTACTGAGTTGCACAAGTCACAGTTTGTATCGTTACTGAGCTGCACAAGTCAGTTTGTATCGTTACTGAGCTGCACAAGTCAGTTTGTATCGTTACTGAGCTGCACAAGTCACAGTTTGTATCGTTACTGAGCTGCACAAGTCAGTTTGTATCGTTACTGAGCTGCACAAGTCACAGTTTGTATCGTTACTGAGTTGCACAAGTCACAGTTTGTATCGTTACTGAGCTGCACAAGTCAGTTTGTATCGTTACTGAGCTGCACAAGTCAGTTTGTATCGTTACTGAGCTGCACAAGTCACAGTTTGTATCGTTACTGAGTTGCACAAGTCACAGTTTGTATCGTTACTGAGCTGCACAAGTCAGTTTGTTATCGTTACTGAGCTGCACAGTCAGTTTGTATCGTTACGAGCTGCACAAGTCAGTTTGTATCGTTACTGAGCTGCACAAGTCAGTTTGTATCGTTACTGAGCTGCACAAGTCACAGTTTGTATCGTTACTGAGCTGCACAAGTCAGTTTGTATCGTTACTGAGTTGCACAAGTCACAGTTTGTATCCGTTACTGAGCTGCACAAGTCTGTTTGTATCGTTACTGAGTTGCACAAGTCACAGTTTGTATCGTTACTGAGTGCACAAGTCAGTTTGTATCGTTACTGAGTTGCACAAGTCACAGTTTGTATCGTTACTGAGTTGCACAAGTCAGTTTGTATCGTTACTGAGTTGCACAAGTCACAGTTTGTATCGTTACTGAGTTGCACAAGTCAGTTTGTATCGTTACTGAGCTGCACAAGTCACAGTTTATATCGTTACTGAGCTGCACAAGTCAGTTTGTATCGTTACTGAGCTGCACAAGTTACAGTTTGCTAACTGAATATCATATTGAAAGAGGGAAGTATGGAGAAAGTATATGTGTTCAAATATTTGGGAGTTGACTTGTTTGTTAATGGGTCTATAAAAGACGAGGTGACTCAAAAAAAAGACATGGGGAAGGTACCAGAGTATAGTGGTACCAACACTCTAGTATAGGCGTCAGGCATGGGTTTTAAACGTTGCAGTAAGGAGACTGTAAGCAGTGGACATGTTGTGTTGGAGGACAATGTGTTGTATGAATATTATAAAGAGAATTCGGAGCTTGGAGAGCAGAAGAAAGTGTGGGGGTTACCAAGTGTAATGTTCAAAGGAAGTGAAATGCCTGCACTCTGAGAGTCTTCTTCAGGGGGTGTGGAGAAGAATGTACTCCACCATACTCCCCGAGGAAGAATCTCAGTGCTACCTAACACCACCCTCGGGAGTACCTTCTGAAGGTGTTCCACCACCACCTACACCACCCCTCCCACAACCCACTATCATCAGCCTTACCATCTTCAGCACAACCACGACGACCACCAGCACAACCACCACCACCAGCACAACCACCACCACCAGCACAACCACCACCACCAGCACAACCACCACCACCAGCACAACCACCATCAGCACTACCACTATCATCTGCCTGACTTCTCGTTCAGAAAACTCTCATATTTAAGGTTATTTTTAGGTATCCCTGAAGGAGGACCTTTAAGTGATTACCCAAATTTCCTTTTCTTCCTCCAGACTTTCGCTTTCATCTCTATCAAAACACGAGGCCTCATCAGATTGGCTTCAAATTTTCAACAGTGGTGTACGGTAACTACGACAAAATTCTGAGAGTAATTGCATTTGCAGGTGCCCTGTAAGCAATGTTGTATAACCTATTCTCAGCTTCCATGAATGGCTGTGATAACTTCCATGGTGGTAACAGAGTGAACCTCCAAGTACAACAACGGCAGTATGTGAAATTCAGATGTGTAGCCGCAAGTCTGACAATTTTATCTGTAAAATAGTGTGAAATTTTTACTCTGATTAAACCATATTAAATATGAGTCTCCCCTTTTTTGATTGGCTTATATTATTTTATATATATATATATATTAAAATTTTTTAATATATTTAAAAATTTATATATATTATATATTTTTTTAAAATATATTTATATATAATATATTTAATAAAAATTTAAAAAAATTTAACTACTGCACCCTGACAGTGAGGACAGTGAACTTTAAAGGGTTTAGTTTACGTACGAGCAAGTTTGCCCTTACAAATTTAGTTCTTTAAAACTTGAAATCTTCAAAAACCCCTGTGCCCACCGGGGAGAATGACTCTTTGTTAAAGCTTCAAATTTTCGACCTGGAGTGCTTTCCGGGCAGAAAAATTAGCGTTTTTATTGTTTTTCCATAATCTATAAGGCCCGTTTACGTTTTTCTTTAAAAATTCGTTTTGTTTTCCCCAATTCAAAAAATTAAAGGGAATTTCTTTTAATTGACTTAAAAATATCAACGTTTAAAATATTTTATAAAAAAGGAAGAAAACATTAATTTCCCTTTTTACTTAGCTGAAATTTGAAAATTTTAAAAAACTTTTTAAAAACTTGGAAACGGGGAAAATTCGGGGGCAATTACGGGGGAACTGTTTTAAAATTGGCACGTAATTTCCCCCTTCTCAAAAAACATGTTTTTTTTTCCATTTATAATCTCCCTTTTTCCATAATTACCAACAATTTTGCAGTAAGGAGACGAAATTTTGTTTTGTCTGCTTTTTTTAAAGTAAAGTTAGGATCTTTCTTTAATTCATGGTAAAAATTCCCCCAATTTTTTCCTTGGGGAGATATGACTGGGTTATAAAGGAAAACCGGGAAATTTAAATAAAGGGGATGTAAATAGCGTGCTAGAAATATCTAGCCAAGACAGGACTCGCAGCAATATTTTTTAAGGGGAAAAATTCAGTTTTCAAAAAAGGTTTTGGGGAAAAGCACTGGTTTGGTAATAGAGTTGGGGAAATGATTTGGAACAAACCCCCGAGTACCGTCATAGAACCCAAAGGGACGTTGTGTATTTTTAAAAAATTAGGTTAGTTTAATACTTTGAGTGGGGCGGGGGGGGTGTGGGTTAGCCCTTACAGTTGGGGCTACTAGGTCTGATGTTGTGCCCCTTTTCCTTTAAATGGGGAAATGGGGCCCTAAATTGACTAGGTTGGCTTGGTTAACCCGGGGGTTAGGGGGCTTGGACCTCCCTCGCCAGTAGGCCTGCTACAGTGTTTTTTTTTTATGTTCTTTTTAAAACTGAATATAAGAGTTAACTGAATTTTTGGGGTAAAAAAAGGCGTTAAAAACCCCGGTCCAGGAGGGGTAAAGGGTTATGTCGGCCGGGCCCAAGCCAATGAAAAATTAAGCCTAGTCCAGCCCAAGACCGGGGTCAAGGTCGGGTTTCAAGGTGGGTTTAAAGCCTTTTAAAGGGTGGGTAAAACTTAGGTGAAGGTCGGGTTAGGTTAAAACAAAGGGAAAGGGCGAGTGTGCCACCCCGTCTGGGGTGCCTCGTTATTATGGCTGCCAGGGGAGCAACTTGAAAGTATTTTTTAGTTTTCAAGAGAAACCTGGAGGAAGACAGGAAGGTGAGGTGCTTTTTTTTGAGTGATGTGAACCATGCTGTTTACTTAAAACCCTTGGCCCCCTTATCTTTCTCAAACCCAAACGTGATCTTAGGGCAAACCCAAACAACAAAAACCCTCATTTAATGAGCATCAGAAGAATTTAGGGAAGAAAGACACCCCCAAACTCTTTGATCTAGACTCTGTGTTTTGTTTTTTTTTTTAAACCCGTAGATCATGAAAACCTTTTAAATTGGGATTTTTAAAAGGCCCAAAGGGAAAGGAAATGATAAAAGCCAACTATGGTAACTTTTGGGTGTTTATTTGCCTTTTAAAACAGTTTGTCATCCGTGCCATAAAGAACTCGCTCTTGAAAGTCATTTCTTAAAAGGGAAATCGTAACCGGAAGACACGTCAAATGACCAAGAAACGTCTCAACGGGGGTATGAATGGTTTTCCCCTTTCTTCTGGCAAAAAAAATACGACCACTAACCCAAATTCGGGTTTCAACTAAACTACAATTCCCATCCTAAAAAAGGTTTTTAATATTTTGGGCCCAAAAATTTTTTAAGGGGTTTGGGCCCGGGAAACCAGCGGAAGGCCTCGGGGCGGTGACAAAAGCGCCCTTTGGGGGGTCGTTTCTAAGGCCTGCGTCGGGATTTCCCCTTGCCCTGTTTCCCGGGCGAACCTTACCCCAAACTAAACATTCCTTTACATTCCAAAACCCAAAATTTAAAAATTATTAGGTCCAAGCAAGGGCATTTCTCCGTATTTTAAAAACAACATCCCGGGGTGAGGAGTTTGATCGTAATTTTTTTTTAAAAACAAAATTTTTTTCCCATCTCTGTGCTAACTTTTGTTTTAAGTTTTTCCCTTTTTTTTGTTATAAGGGTTCTCAGGTACTGCTGTTGTAGGTCTCTCTCTTTTTGTAAATTTTCCCTTTTTTTTGTGTTTTTTTGGTTGCTTCTGTTTTTTTGGGTTTTTTTGTTGACGCTGTTATTTTATTGGGTTTGGTTTATTCTGAGGCATACTTTTTGGTTCAGATTTAAACGTCCTTTTCTTCATCAAACCATTCTTCACCCCCCTTCTCTTGGGTTAAAAATTAGCCAGCAAGGTGATGTTTTTAAAAAAACCCTTTTTCACCAGCTTAAAAAGCCCGTGTTATGTGGAACAAAAGGGGGGCTTGTTTTTTCCAGTGTGGGGAAGTAGGGTTTTTGCTCTAATTTTTTTTTCAAAGGGGGCCCCATAATGGGCAAAAGTTTTTGGGACATCCACCCCTTGTATTAATCAGAACTACACGTCGCGCCCCCTTCCCCGTCACTGCGGGGCCTTTAAGGTAGGCGAAAATTTCGAACCCCGGGAAAAAAAAACGAGAACTTTCCCCTGCATTTTATAAGTAAAAAAAAAAAAAGCACCTATATTACTGGGAAAAGGGTGAAATCCCCTTTTCTTTAAACCTTTGGAAAAAAAGGGCGGGGAAAAAATACATGAAATATAACCCCTTGGGAAAAACTTTGAGGGTCTAGTCTCGACTGCACACGGAAAATTTACTTTCCCATGAAAGCAAAAGATTTGGCAAGCGGTTTTCAAAATCCCCCCCAAAGAAAAGCGGGGCGCCACGAGTACGCTAAGGGCAACATATTAAATGTCCCCCCCCCCGGCCCCCCCCCCCCCTTCCTGCCTCCCAGCTCATAAAGGGGATTTCCATTAGAACCCCGGCTGTCTTCAAGGGGAGCTGGTTTGGCCCCCTAAAGTTTTAGTACCCGCCATCCGGACTGTGGTTGTAACGTCGGTTTTTCGGGCAGGGCCCGCAGTAATATCCTGGTTGATAGGTCCTGTTCCAATACGTGGTTTGTCATGGACCGGGCCGCGGGGGGCGTTGGGGCTCCGGAAAACCCTCCAGAAGGGCTTACAGGAAAACGTCTTCCTGCCTTTCTTTTTCTGCCCTGCAGTTTTTGGGGCCCGTCTTTTTTCATGTTTTCCTTTCTGCCTTAAGATAAGAGATAAGATTTTTGTTAGGATTTTGAACCCGGAGGGTTAGCCACCCAGGATAACCCACGAAAGTCAGTGCATCATCGAGGACTGTCTCTCTTTTTTCCATTGGGGTCCTACAATGTTGTTCCCCAGGATGCGACCCACACCAGTCGACTAACACACAGGTACTACTTGCTTGCTAGGTGAACGGGGACAACACGTGTAAGAAAACACGTCTAATGTGTCCACCCTTGCTGGTGGACACATTTTAGACAAGAGCGTTGAGAGCGTTGCCTGCAGTGCCTGCCCGTCATTTCTGAAACACTACCGGTACAAGCACTGCTACAAACATAGGTGCATATATAAGTACGGATACAACTACAGGAACATGAAAGGTACATATATAGACAAACCTACTGGAGATTAAATTACGAGAAGGTAGCAGAAGTATGACGGGAGAGAGATGTGGAGCTAATGCGGAGAATTCAAACGGATGAGGATCAGGTAGGATTACAAAGGGATCTGGACAGTCTGCAAGCCTGATCCAACAACTGGAGTTTAACCCAACCAAGTGCAAAGTATTGAAGATTGGGGAGGGTCAAAGATCGCAGACGAAATGCAGGCTAGGGGGAGAAGGACCAAGCTGCAAACCCTCATCAAGGGATAAGGATCTTGAGGTGAGTATAATACCGAGCACATCTCCTGAGGCACACATCAACCAAATAGCTGCTGCAGCATATGGGCGCCTGGCAAACCTAAGAATACCGTTTCGACACTTGAGTAAGGAGTCATTCAAGATACTGTACACCGTGTACGTCAGGCCCATACTGGAGTATGCAGCACCAGTATGGAACTTGCACCTGGTCAAGCACGTCAAGAAATTACAGAAAATGCAAAGGCTTGCAAGAAGACTATTCCCGAAGCTAAGTGGTATATCCTATAAGGAGAAGTTAAGGGAAATCAACCTGATGACACTGGAGGACAGGAGGGATAAGAGGGGGGACATGATTACGACATATAAAATACTAAGATGAATGGCACAGGTTGGATAATGAGACAGAATGTTTCAGAGATGAGACACAGCAACAAGGGGTCACTGCTGGAAGTTGAAAACTCAGATGAGTCACAGGGATGTTAGGAAGTACTTCTTCAGCCATAGAGTTGTCAGGAAGTGGAATAGTCTGGAGAGCGATGTATTGGAGGCAGGATCAATGTATAGCTTTAAGAAGAGGTATGATAAAGCTCAT